GTTTCTCTCTCTCTCTCTCTCTGTCAGAAATGTAACCTCTATCACTGTTTCTCTCTCTCTCTCTCTCTCTCTGTCAGAAATGTAACCTCTATCACTGTTTCTCTCTCTCTCTCTCTGTCAGAAATGTAACCTCTATCACTGTTTCTCTCTCTCTCTCTCTCTCTCTGTCAGAAATGTAACCTCTATCACTGTTTCTCTCTCTCTCTCTCTCTGTCAGAAATGTAACCTCTATCACTGTTTCTCTCTACAGATACAGATGTGCTGGATACGTGGTTCTCCTCAGGGCTCTTTCCTTTTGCGATGCTTGGCTGGCCCGACCAGGTACTAGCCAGCATGCTCCACAAAAATAACATCTGTCTGTGAAATCTCCTCATTTCTTACCCAAATCTTACCTTCAACAGACCTCTGACCTGCAGCGCTTCTACCCAAACTCTCTCCTGGAGACCGGCAGTGACCTCATCTTTTTCTGGGTTGCCAGGATGGTAATGCTGGGAACAGAGCTGACTGGACAGTTACCCTTTAAACAGGTTGGTTCATGTATTAAAACAAACGTATATAGACTGCTTATGAGTCTGAAGATATTTTTATTTCATAGAATATTTTTTTTTTCTTCATTATGTGTCTCAGGTGCTGTTTCACTCTCTGGTTAGAGATAAACATGGCAGGAAGATGAGCAAATCTGTGGGAAATGTCATCGACCCGTTAGATGTTATCCATGGAGTTTCTCTGCAGGTGGGCAGCACACAGCCTGTTTGTGTTGACTGAGTAATGAAGTAGACATGTTGAACATGTGCAGCACAGCTTTAGGCTGTTTTAGGTGTTTGTATGTGTCATTACCACATTAACCACTTTCAATGTGTTTTTCTATCTTTCAGCTTTCTGAATGGGGAAAAAAGCTTTTTCTTTTTCAGTTTTAACAATGAAAGAAGCAGAAATTTGGTCAACCTTTGAAAAAACAAAATAGTTGATAAATCGGAACATTTGAACTGTTCATTTTCCAGGGTACAATGAGTATACAATGTTTTTATTTATTTTAAATTTATTGCAGACTTTCTCTATTCGATACAGGGTAGAATCTATACATTCTAAATTGGATATTTACAGAAATTCATGTAAATCTTTAAAGGGGTAATATTATGTGTTTCTCCGGCATACATTTAAATACTATACCATTATAAAGTATCTATGTCACCTTTAGTTG